GTGATGGTAGGGGCCAACATGTTGGAATTGATATTGATGCTCTGAAGACACTTGTTGAATCTTACCCAAGGCAACACACTCATGAAATTGTCTTGAAATTGCATATCTCTCATGAAACAATACGTAAACATCTAAGGAATATGGAAAAACTCCATAAAGAAGGTGTTTGGTACCTCACGAACTCTAATCATCGTTTCCAATGTGTGAACGTTGCTTCGTCTCTTCTGGACAGAATTGTTACCGGTGATGAAAAATGGATTCTCTATGCAAATATTAAATGCCAAAAACAATGGCTCAGTCCTAGCCAAAAAAATACATCCAACCCCAAAACGTGGACTCCATCCACATAAAGTGATGCTCTGTATTTGGTGGGACATCAAAGGAGTAATTCATTTCGAATTCCTCAATGCAAAGATCTATAGTCATCAACTGGAATGTTTAAATCAAGCCCTTCATCAGAAACATCCTTCTCTCGTCAATCAGAAAAGTGTTCTTCTCCACGACAATGCACGTCCACATGTGGAATGTTTGATGCAACACAAAATTATCGAGTTGGGTTGGGAAGTTCTCCCCTACCCACCATATTCTCCAGATATGGCACCATTATATTACCATCTTTTTAGTTTCCTGCAGCACCATCTTAATGGGAAAATGTATGCAAATGTGGAAGGTGTTAAAGAGGACATTGACATGTTTTTTGCTTCAAACCCAAGTGATTTCTTTAATCAGGGCATTAACAACCTGATTGTAAGATGGAAAAACATCATAGATAAGAATGGAGACTATTTCATTTAATAAATGTTTTGTTTTGTTTTGATATATAAGTTGTTCGGGTTTTTTCATCTTTAAAAAAGCGACATTAATTTCTTAATGACCTAATATAATACATAAAGTCATACATGTATGCACACAATAGTAATACTAGAACACAGAACATAGCCATACATATCACACACACACGATAGTAATGCCAGAACATAGAACATAGCCATACATATCACACACACACAATAGTAATACTAGAACATAGAACATAGTCATACATAATACACACACACGATAGTATTGGCAGAACATAGTCATACATAATACACACACAATAGTATTGGCAGAACATAGTCATACATAATACACACACAATAGTATTGGCAGAACATAGTCATACATAATACACACACAATAGTATTGGCAGAACATAGTCATACATAATACACACACAATAGTAATGCCAGAACATAGTCATACATAATACACACACAATAGTATTGCCAGAACATAGTCATACATAATACACACACAATAGTAATGCCAGAACATAGTCATACATAATACACACACAATAGTATTGGCAGAACATAGTCATACATAATACACACACAATAGTAATGCCAGAACATAGTCATACATAATACACACACATATACAATAGTAATGCCAGAACATAGCCATACATATCACACACACACGATAGTAATGCCAGAACATAGTCATACATAATACACACACAATAGTATTGCCAGAACATAGTCATACATAATACACACACAATAGTAATGCCAGAACATAAAATCATACATATTACACACACACACAATAGTAATGCCAGAAAATAGTCATACATAATATACACACACAGTAGTAATGCCAGAACATTACACACACACACACACAATAGTAATGCCAGAACATAGTCATACACAATACACATATATACAATAGTAATCCCAGAACATAGTCATACACAATACACACATATACAATAGTAATACCAGAACATAGTCATACACAATACACACACACACAATAGTAATACCAGAACATAGTCATACACAATACACACATACAATAGTAATACCAGAACATAGTCATACACAATACACACATATACAATAGTAATACCAGAACATAAAGTCATACACAATACACACACATATACAATAGTAATGCCAGAACATAAAGTCATACACACACACACACACACACAATAGTAATACCAGAACATAGTCATACACAATACACACATATACAATAGTAATACCAGAACATAGTCATACACAATACACACATATACAATAGTAATACCAGAATATAAAGTCATACACAATACACACATATACAATAGTAATACCAGAACATAGTCATACACAATAGTAATACCAGAACATAAAGTCATACACAATACAACACATATACAATAGTAATACCAGAACATAGTCATACACAATACACACATATACAGTAGTAATACCAGAACATAAAGTCATACACAATAGTAATACCAGAACATAAAGTCATACACACACACACACACAATAGTAATACCAGAACATAGTCATACACAATACACACATATACAATAGTAATATCAGAACATAGTCATACACAATACACACACAATAGTAATGCCAGAACATAAAATCATACATATTACACACACACACAATAGTAATGCCAGAACATAGTCATACATAATATACACACACAGTAGTAATGCCAGAACATTACACACACACACACACAATAGTAATGCCAGAACATAGTCATACACAATACACATATATACAATAGTAATACCAGAACATAAAGTGACACACAATAGTAATGCCAGAACATAAAGTCATACACAATACACACATATACAATAGTAATACCAGAACATAGTCATACACAATACACACACACAATAGTAATACCAGAACATAAAGTCATACACAATACACACATACAATAGTAATACCAGAACACAGTCATACACAATACACATATATACAATAGTAATACCAGAACATAGTCATACACAATACACACATATACAATAGTAATACCAGAACATAGTCATACACAATACACACACACAATAGTAATGCCAGAACATAAAGTCATACACAATACACACATACAATAGTAATACCAGAACATAAAGTGACACACAATAGTAATACCAGAACATAAAGTCATACACAATAGTAATACCAGAACATAAAGTCATACACAATAGTAATGCCAGAACATAAAGTCATACACAATAGTAATGCCAGAACATAAAGTCATACACAATAGTAATGCCAGAACATAAAGTCATACACAATAGTAATGCCAGAACATAAAGTCATACACAATAGTAATACCAGAACATAAAGTCATACACAATAGTAATACCAGGACATAAAGTCATACACAATAGTAATACCAGGACATAAAGTCATACACAATAGTAATACCAGGACATAAAGTCATACACAATAGTAATACCAGAACATAAAGTCATACACAATAGTAATGCCATAAAGTACAGATCAACTTAATTCCTACAAATAAAACATTCTAGATATTTGTTAAGTTAATAATGATGGTGTTTGTCTGTATCATATTTTAAGTATTTTAACTTCAACAATAGTTTCCTTTTTGTACTATCTAAAGTAGTGACAGTTGTAGTATTGATTGAGGTAAAAAGTGTCATCAAGTTAAAAAACTTGAATAATATAAGTTTTGATAAATTCCAGATCAGGAGGGGAGTGATGAGAGTGAAGTTGAAGAAGGACTCTTTTGTGTCGCCTGTGACAAAGCTTTCAAGTCAGACAAAGCGTATGTGATATTTTATTGGAGATGTTGAACAAAATATAAGTCATGAAGTAAAAATTTCTGTGTTTTTATATATTAGGTAAAATTATTTAAAAAACCTAAGAAAACTAATAATGAAACTTACAGTAAGTCAGTAATGATATAAAGAAAACTAATAATGAAACTTACAGTAAGTCAGTAATGATATAAAGAAAACTAATAATGAAACTTACAGTAAGTCAGTAATGATATAAATTAAACTTACAGTAAGTTAGTAATGATATAAAGAAAACTAATAATGAAACTTACTGTAAACTGTTAATGTTGCAAACTTAAACACAAGAAGCCAAGAAACCCACTATAAAAGAGAAACATGCCGGAAGCGAACAATCCACAGCTTGGCTTAGACTACTAGATCATAATATCCTTCATTTTCTATTTGAATTTATTCCTAACATTGCGACAGTATTTCAAGCAAAGACATTATTTATGTATAAATAGCCTTCAGTTAGTTTTATAGCATTGTGTTTAATGTCAAAGAAACAGAATCACCATCTCAAGTGTGTCACATTAAACGTGATTGGTTCTGACACACCGTAGGAATTTTATACTCTCACAAGTCTTCCTTAAGAAGTAAAAACGTGATTCAAGCTAGCGACTGCAGTGATTGGTCGAGAAGGGTGACGTGGCATAAAATGAGGCTAAACAACCTGTTGATGGATTTTCATGTGTTCAGATTCAGTGATCCCTATCTACTATCACTTCGTAAGTAAGTTTTAACGGAGTAGAAGTACAGGTGGCTAACAAAACCCATCTCTCTATCAGTTTAAGGAACCACGAAAAGTCCAAAAAGCACAGAGAAAACGTTTTACTTCTGAAGACGGCAATGGAAGAAGAAGATAGAGAACTAGAGCAGTTATCAAATAAGGACTTTGTTTCAGATGATGAAGATGAGATTGAAGTAACGGAAATTACTACAAGGTTCGTATGTAACGTGTCTTCATACTAACTGAATAAACTGTATATATTCTAGTATTTTATATCCTAAATATAGTTTATTCAGTATACTTAGTTTAAAGTTCTTCAGCCTCGTTACATTGTGTCTTAGTTTTGTTGACAAAGGTCATTAGTTATATGTACGACAAAATCTTCTTCCTCATTTACATTAAGAAGACACGTGTGTAATTGTAAGTAACGCAGACATTTAAAGACAAAAAACCTACGTTTATAATTTAAAAGTTGCAAAATTTAACGTTTATTTTCAGCACCAGTAAAAAGAAGAAGAAAAAGCAGAAAAGAGCGACAGCTGAAAACCAGGTATTTTTTCATTGAAGTTTTATATAAAGTGTAACTCGTTGGACAGTTTAAAATCATTTCAACTTCACTCAACATGTTGTGGATCTTGTGTTGGCTTAGTACTGTTTATTAAAGAACTAATGAATGATCTAAAACCCATCTTATCGCTCCAACTGGTCTCTTTAGGTATCTTCTGGTACATTAAATTATTATGTAAATGCTGTATCACTTCACTTGCCATAGAGGATAAAACAATTTGTTTCATGTTTATACAAAAAGCATGTGATTTGTTTTTATAAAACACTTCAAACTTGGTACATCACTTGCAAGATCAGATAAACATAAGTTTTTTTTTTTTTTATTATTATTGTTACTGTATTTATAACTGGTACCTAAGGTTTTGGTAGATTGTTTTTTTCTGTTGTTACTGTATTTATCACTGGTACCTAAGGTTTTGGTAGATTGTTTTTTTCTGTTGTTACTGTATTTATCACTGGTACCTAAGGTTTTGGTAGATTGT